GGGGGAATCTATTGGCAAGGGATTGATCTCCTGTCCACACATCCTTCCAAAAGTTGACATACTGCCCGTTCCCAAGCTTCAATTTAAAACCCCCTGATAGCCATCCTCTGCTGTTTGGATCCAAATCGTCAATCCTACATAAGTTTCTCCACCATAGAGATCCCCTTTGGTCATCCACCTGCACCCAATCAATCCATCTACCCTCCAAACAACCATACTTGTGCTGGATAATGTTGTATAATAGACTCTCCTCCCCACTTGCAAGTCTACCCCACCACTTTCCCAATAATGCTAGATTAAATTTTCTAAGATCTTTGACACCTAGCCCACCCTCCATCTTGCTGCTACAAACTTTGTCCCATGAGACCCAGTTGATTTTTCTCTTGCTCCCCCCTCCCCCCCATAGGAAGCTCTTACAGATTTTATCTAAGGAAAGAATCAGACCTTTTGGGAGTAGGTGCACAGACATGGTATACACTGGGAGGTTGGACAATACTGCGTTGAGGAGTGTAATCCTTCTGCCAAGAGAGAGGAGCCGGCTTTTCCAATTGCTCAATTTTTTCTCAAAAGATTCAATCAGTGGTTTCCACAAAGAAATTTTCTTCACACTACCGCTTATTGGAACCCCCAAATATCTGCATGGAAATGTTCCTTGCTTGCAATTCAATATGTGGGCCATTTTTGACATCCATCCCTCTGAAACATTTATTCCTACAAGTTGGCTTTTCCCAAAATTAATTTTCAAACCCGATACCAACTCAAAGATTCTCAATATACTCTTTGCTGCCCATATGTTGTCCTCTCCGGCTTTCCCAAATAGGATCGAGTCGTCCGCGAATTGCAGATGAGACACTTTCAAACCTCTACTGCCAATATCAATTCCGTCAAACAGTCCATGGTTGATTGCTGAAGAGATAATACCATTGAGGCCTTCTGCAACCAACAAAAATAAATAAGGTGAGAGTGGATCGCCTTGTCTGAGTTCTTTGTTAATTTTGACTTGTCTCGTTGAGCTACCATTGAGTAAGATCGACGCCTCTGCCGTCTTCAGACATTCGTTAATCCACCGTCTCCATTTTGGATCAAACCCCATCCTCGACATCATGTAATCAAGGAATTCCCAACGGACCTTGTCGTACGCCTTCTCGAATTCTATTTTGAGCAGGAAACTAGCCTTCTTCTTCCTCTTCGCTTCATCGATTGTTTCATTTGCTATTACAATACTATCAATCATATGTCTACCTTTGATGAAGGCCATTTGGTTTTCTCCAATAATGCCATCCAGAACCGAACAAATTCTGTTTGTGAGGAGCTTTGCGATCACCTTGTACATGATGCCGATTATAGAAATGGGTCTGAACTCTTCAATTTTCTGGGGGTTCATAACCTTGGGTATCAACACAATGAAGGAACTGTTCGCTCTTCTGACCAATTTCCCATTTTTGTGAAAATCATCAACAAAACCCATCATGTCATCTTTGATCGTGTCCCACATTTCTCTGATGAATTTGAAGTTGAAACCATCTGGCCCTGGTGCTTTAGAACATCCGCAGCTCCATACTGCCCTTTTAACTTCTTCTTCATTGAAGGGAGCAAGTAAAAAGGAATTGTCTGCTGATATCTTTTTGAAATCAATTCCGTCGAGATGAGGTCGTTGCCACCTTTCTTCTGTGAACAAAATCTCAAAGTAATTTGCCACGCCTTCCTTGATCTCTTGCACATGTTCCATGTGTTTGTCTCCCACTTGTAAGCTAACAATGTCGTTCCGTCTCCTTCTTCCCTTAACACACCTGTGGAAGAATTTTGTATTAGCATCTCCGTCTTTGATCCATGTTGTCCTTGCTTTTTGACGCCACATGCTCTCCTTCACTTTTTGTTGTTTCCAGAGTTCCAGAAAACTGCTCCTTCTTAGATGCACATCATCATCATTCAAATCTGCTGACACCCCCTTTGATATCAATATCCGCAATAGAGTCTTTGCATTTCTTAATGATGAGGTCCGTCTCCGACACCATTGTTTTGCCCCACTCCTTCAAAGCTTTCTTCGTTTCCTTCATCTTCTCTTTAAATCGGTATCCATGCCATCCCTATATCACTATTGATTTCCATGTCTCACTCATTAGCTCTTTAAGTCCTGGTGAATCCAACCACATATCGAAGAATCGAAAAGGTTTAGGGCCCCAGTCAATTATTTGATTCTTCAACAAAATAGGGCAATGGTCTGACAATTCTCTCTTCAGCCCGCATTGTTTGACATCACCCCAGTTGAGGCACCAATTTTCTGACAACAAAAACCTGTCTAGCTTGCTCATAACAGATCCATTTGAATCATACCATGTAAATTTTTGATCAATTAAGGGGAGGTAAATGAGGCCACATGTTCTAATAAACTCATCAAACTCTATCATTTCCCTCCTATTTGTTCTCCCACCCTTCCGTTCTTGCTCACTTCTGATGGCATTAAAGTCTCCCATTAAGCAACAGTTGCTGCCTGCTTCAATCATCAATTCCTTAATACTAACCCATAAGGCTCTTTTACCCGTCATATCACAAGGTGCATAAATATTAAGAATGTGTACAGGGATTTTAGAGGCCCCCCCAGGTTCCATATATCCCCATATAGCTCTCGCCTTCGATTACTCTTTCTTTTTTCATTATGTCACAATTCCAAATGCATATAAGCCCTCCAGCCGCTCCTCTAGATGGTTTTGATACCCAATCAAAGTTGTCTCCTCCCCAAATGTTTCTGCATATCTGATAATCTACCCCCTCTATCTTTGTTTCTTGGATTGACAAAAACTCCACTTTTTCTTTCTCAACTAACTCTCTAATACCTCTCTTCTTGCCCTCACCCCCCAAACCTCTAATGTTCACTGACAAGATAATCATTTAAGTTTAGAAACCTCCTCCCCCCCTAGATCGGCTTTACTAACCTTTGAGGTGCTGTGCAGCTCCCTATCGCGCTCTTCCATATCTCTGAGTCTCTGGATCACCTCTGCTTCATTGCCATGATCGCCAACTCCGATCTCCTTTGCGAATGCCCAAATTCTCTCCGCAATTCTCAGATCCATAGCATTTCGAAGAGCCACGTTTTTGTTTTCGATGCCGCTGTCAGTGACTGATTCTCCTGCAGCTTGATTTTGGAGTCCAGGTACAAATACCGGCAGCTTCTCTTCCGTTGTTCTTTCTTTTGGAATTTTCTTCCTCCCCTTTGGATTGTGCTCCTGCTCCTCCTTTCTTCCCTTCATGTACACTGAGAGGCAAGATCTGGTTTTCTTCTTCTTCTTGTGTTTCGGTTTCCTCTGATTTCTGCCCATCCATTCTCGCTCTTCCCCAAATTCGCTCCTAAACCCCTTCCAGAAGGACGACTCCTGCTCTGTATTGTGACCTTCTGTTGATGATGCTCTGTTCCTCACTTCTTGTTGGATTTTTTTGGAGAGATGTCCCTTTGATAATACATTCAATATTTGTTGAAATGGACCCATCCTTCTGTATCTGCCCGTCCACTTCTTCATTAGTGGGTTTACTGCCACCGGACATGAATGCATCTTGTTTTGGAGGCCTGTGGTTAATTGTGGCCCAAATGTCATTATTCTCTAAAGGGTCATCCTCCAGTGGGCTAGACAACGTTAGAGGCCCCACCGTTACCCACTTACTCTGCCAATCCTTATTTTGACCAATCTGTGTGGCCTGACTATCCGACACAATCTCCAAATTAGCTATGGATTTTTCATGATTGCTAGTGCAGCAAATTTGAATTTTGTCATCTCCGTTAGTCTGTTGATTGTCTTGGGAATCGACTGCATTAAATGCTATGTCATTCACCGCCGAAAGTTGAGCACCATTTGTATTTTGGCGCTCTTGTGACCAACGGTAAGGTGGCTGTTCATCTCTGTCATCTTCCTCTGTCACCTCATCCTTTACTTCCATGTCATCGACAACCTTCTTCCCACTGGAGGAACTCCGGCCACCATTTACTTCCCCACTGCCTAAAAATGCCACACTTACTTCATCATCCACACCGTGGTCCAATGACTAGGATTCCGAAGAAGCATCATCGGAGTCACTCAATTCCCTGAACACGTGGTCGGATTTCATTGAGAAAATTCTGTTGGGAGCCTCTTCCTCCGTTACTTTGATCAAATAAGGTTCCCTGTTGACCGAGATGTTGATACTTTTGGAGATGAAATCTGTCACCGGTGTAGATATCAGCATTCTTCCTACGTCAAACCTCAGTTTTTGCTGGTATTGTCATCCAAAGTAATGAACTTTCCCCACACGGTACCAATTGTAGTGAAGAAGTTAGGCCCCCAAATGTGAGCAGGGACTCCTTGGCATCGAAGCCATACAAATCTCTCCCTTGCAACCGTTGAAGGGCACCATGGTTGAACTTCCGTGAACCATTGTTCCAACCATTTTGGAGCAACCTCTACTAAATCTTTAATCTCCTCCTTATCTCCACCCTCAAGTAGGACCAGGCGTCCGCCCATGGCTTTTATTCTACATGAGAAGTATCCCTCCATGAAGAATTTTTCTTGTAATGTTGGGATTATCTCAACTGAGTGGGCAATCCCCACATAGCAGCCTTGAAGCCAAGTGTACTCTTCCTCCTGGATGGTGAAGCTCAAACCTGCCTTAGCCTGCTCCACTTTCGGATGCTTGGATAGATTGTTTATTTGTGTTTGGTTGTGTTCTTCTGCTCCATTTGCTGCTCTCCTACTTTCCAGATTTGCTTCACTTCCACTGATTCCCTTTACCATTTCAGCAAAAGTTATGTGTCCTCTGAATCCTACGTTCCCTTTTTGTCTCTGGGCTACTCTTAACTGCTTCTCGTGCTCATTGAACCTTGGTTTATTAACCCATAATTTGAATTCCCCCACTCGAATCTGGTCAAGTTGGTGTTCCAATTCCTTCTCATTTCTGACGTCCAAGAATCTGACAAACCCAAATCTGCTCCCCTTCCTGGATTTCCTCATGGGGCTGTAGATGTCCAGGACTCTTCCATACTTACGAAAAGTATGCCACATGTGTTCATGCTTCCAAGCCTCTGGAAAGTTGGTGGAGAAATACACGGAGGCTTGATTAAATATTCGACGATCGTAACCCCGAATTTCAGAGTTTCTAGAACTGTTCTGTCGTGTTTCTTTCCTGTCTTGCACTGGTCGGTTCCATCTTCTGGGGTTGGATGTTTCCCAGCATTGGGCCGTCCCTCTACCGCATGGTCCCTTACCGTTGAACCTCTCTCTAGCTTTCCCTCTCATGCTCCTGTCTGTCTGTTTTTTGTTGAATAAAATTCCATTCATCTTAACACTGAGAAGAATGTGTTGATAAAATCAATTAAGTACAACAAAAAATATATATATATATATATAATAATTTTGAGAATAATTGAAAAATAGGAATAATAGTCAAATCTTATGAGAATTAATGGAAAAATAAGATAAATGACAAGTAATTTACCTATAGTGAAATAAAAATATCGGAAAAGAAAAAAAAAAGCATTGTTATACATTATAAGGTTTTATTTAAGTAAAAGAAAATGAAAAATATAAATCAAAATGTGAATTTATCTCATAAAATGATTTTAAGCTTAATAATTTGCAAAAATGAAAATAAAAAATTATTAGTAGATCAAATAAAAATAATTGGATAATAAATGAAAATAACAAAAAATAAATTAAAAATAAAAAAATAAAAACCTTGAGATGAAAGAATGAAAGAAAATGAAAGGAAAAGCAGAAAGATGGCAACCAAAAATGAAAGTACGAAAGGTAGAAGGAATGATGAAAGAAAAGTAGAAGCAAGAGGGAAAGACGAAGACATGCAATGCAAGAATTAGAAAGGTAGAAGGAAAGGGAGAAGATGAAAGAAAAATGAAAAATGAAAATGAAAGGGAGAAAAAGAAAAAGAAGAAGATAAGAACAAAGGGAGAAGAGAAATGGAGTGAAACATCTATGGGAAAGGAAGGAGGAGGGGAGAGGTAGGAGAAGATGAGATGAGAAGATATTTGTTGATTTTGTTTCTATGTCCATATATATAGACAAAATATATTTGATAGATATTTTATCGATTATGTTTTAAAATGATTATTAGTTATATTTCAAGTTAAATTAATCACAAAATTTAACTTCTTTTGGGTGGAAAATGCGGTATGAATGTAATCGATAGCCATTATTGATTGTCAATTATAATTGATAGCCATTATCGACAATCACTATATACCTATAATCAACATAATTGACCATTAATTATACAAATATAATTAATAGCTGATAGTGACGGTTGATTATACCCATATAATTGA